TGTGGATGATGTGGGCAGTTAAATAATTATCTGGAGAAGGCGGTTCCACAAATATCCCCTTGCTCAATGATGGAAGAAACCCAACATATTGGGGGTTGCAAAAGATAAGGATAAAGCATTTACGACAATGGCCCTTTGAGACGCCACTGGACACAGGCTTCCAGTTGGAAAAACACATCTCAATCATCATCCACTGCCTCTTGCCACTCAGTCAATTGCAGATCCAGCTGAAATCTATACTGAAAGATTTTCAGACAGAATCTGAAACAGACTTCCCAAAGTTTGGGGTCACAAGCTGAAATTTCAACATCATGTAGCGGTCTCTCTTCCAAAGTAAACTATTCATCCAGGACTTGTCAATGCCACTATGTTTGACAGATTGAACTGCATCCTCTGCTGACAAATACAGTTCCACTAAAAAGCAACATGGAGACTTTAACCTGCCCAGTTTCCAACCTAGACTGGTTCACCCCTCCTGAACAGAGCCGATTCTTCAGAGATTAGAGAGTAATGCTGCATTGCTATTGACCATAGCATGATAAACTGCTCAACATCAGCAATTTCAGCCGAGGTCATCTGCTCTGAAGAAATGTAAGTTTATGGGAACCAGATTAGGGACATACACCACTGCATCCAGCTATGCATATTGTGACGATAATACGAGACACAGGTAGCGAGCAGTCTGGTCAAAGCCAATCAAGGAAACAGCTTCAGGCGCCTTGGGCATTTTTTTTTTTTTTTTTTAAAAAACGTTGGAACAATAAAAACAGCCTGAATGGGTGGGGTCAAACAGGACCAGGATTTTCAGTCTTAGCTTTCAGCAGTTGTTTGGGTCTTGAAATTGGATGTGAAAGCTCTTGTTCCTCTGTTACAACTAAAACCTTGGGTTCCAACAGCAGAAAGAGAGGTGCGAAATTTGTTTGCGCCAAGGCTATGTCTATGGGACGTTACTATATTGGAATAATTAATTAGCTAGTTAATATACTATATTGTTAAGCATTTCAATAGTTAAAGTTAAGCCAATTCTTTTTATTTTTACAATACAGTTAAAATACAGACATAACAAAGTGTGTGTTGCTTAAAGTCAAGTAGTTTGACAAATCGAATTGCATCTGGAACACAATGCCTTTCACTTGACTTTAAAAGAAGAACAAGTTAGGGTCGAGGCTATCTCCTTAATATATTTTGAGGGGGTTTGGTCTTGTCTACAACAAGATGATAAAAGACTATTAAAAACTCAAAAGAAGTTAGGAAAAAACTGGGAATAATAATCAAGTTCTATTCCGGCTTGTTTCAGTCGCACATTTATACAGTATGAAAGAATTTTTTTTTAAATTAAAATAATTTGCAAAATAAACCTTCAACTCAGTGGGCTGTAGCTAGCTAAGCCCTTCAGGGTTAAACAACGTGGGAAAAGGATTTATTTAAAAACTGCACATGCTCCAACATGGCTCACATAGCTCCTTTTTAATCACATGTTGCAGGATCCAAATGAAGAGTTGGAGACAAGCAGGCAACTTTTTCAATAAACACGGAGATAGAGAAGCACAGCAAGTCAGACAGTATCAAAGCAGTAACAAAGCGGACGTTTTGGGTCGGGACCCTTCATCAGGACTGGGGAGGGGGAAGGGAGCTCAGAAATAAATAGAGGGAAGGTAGGTGGGATGCTGATAGGTGGATGCAGGTAGGGGGCTGCAGAGATTGGTCAATGGGAAGGATGGGGCGATAGGTGAGACCGAAGATGTACAGGTTGTGTCAGGTCAAGGAGGCGGAGATGAGGGGGAGAGCTGGACATGGGATGAGGCTGGGGGTGGAGAGATTTTGAAGCTGGTGAACTCTATGTTGAGGCCATTGAGCTGTTTGTAGGATACGTGGAACAGTCCCTCTTCCAGTTACACTGACACTATCCCTCACCTCTTCCTCTGCTGCATTGATGACTGTATCAGTGCTGCCTCGTGCTCCCATGAGGAACTCGAACAGTTCATCAATTTCACCAACACCTTTCACCCCAACCTAAAATTCACCTGGACCATTTCTGACACCTCCCTCCCCCTTCCTGGACCTCTCCACCTGTGACTCCAGCAACCGACTCAGCACAGACATCCATTTCAAACGCAGATTCCCACAGCTACTTCAACTACACCTCATCTCACCCACCCTCTTGCAAGAATGCGATCCCATCCTCCCAATTCCTCTGCCTCCACGCCATCTGCTCCCAGGATGAAGCGTTCCACTCTTGTACATCCCACATGTCCTCCTACTTCAAGGACCGTAATTGCCCTTCTCCCGTGATTTATAATGACCTCAACCCGCACATCTGCCCTCACACCCCCTCCCCCCAACAAGGATATAGGCCCCTTGGTCCTCACAAACCACCCCACCAAATTTCCAAATCCTCCGCCATTTTTGACATCTGTAATCAGACCCCATCACCAAAAAGATATTTCCTTCCCCACCCCTACCTGCTTTCCATAGGGAGCATTCACTCCGTGATTCCCTCATCAGCTCCACTCTCCTTACCACCACACCCGGCACCCTTCCCTGCAAACACAGAAAGTGCTACACCTGCCCCTACGCCACCACTCTCACCTCCATCCAAGGCCCCAAACAATCATTCCAAAGCCAACAGAAATTCATCTGTACGTCTCCTAATCTGGTTTACTGCATCTGTTGCTCCCGATGTGGTCTCCTCAGTGACTAAGTCACGGAGAATCTGCGCTCTGTACACTCCAACTGTCAGCCATTTCAACTCCCCCTCCCACTTCCTTGGTGGGACGTCCATCCTGGGCCTTCTCCATTGTCACAATGTGGCTATACACAAACTGGAGGAACAACACGTTATATTCCGCCTTGGGAGCTTAGAGCCCAATGGCCTCAACATAGAGTTCACCAGCTTCAAAATCTCCCTATCCTCAGCTCACCATGTCCCACCCTCCCCCTCATCCCTACCTCCTTGACCTGACACAACCTGCCCATCTTTCTTCTCATCTATCCACCCCATCCTTCCCATTGACAACCCCCTACCGGCATCCACCTATCACCATCTCACCTACTTTCTACCAGCTCCACCCCCCATTTATTTCCAATCTCCCTTCCCCCTCCCCAAGCCTAATGAAGGGACCCGACTTGAAATGTTGACTTTCCTACTCCTCCGATGCTGTGCTCCTCCAGCTCCACATTTTAACAACTCTGGCTTCCAGCATCTGCAGTCCTTGCTATCTCATAGTTGCTATTCCCAGGAAAATTTTTCACCCTTGTTAGCAAAGACATCTGACGAAAAAAAGGTTCACAAACAAAGTTAGAGACAAAAATAACTGCAGACGCTGGAATCCAAGGTAGACAAACTGGAGGCTGGAAGAACACAGCAAGCCAGGCAGCATCTAGAGGAAAAGAGAAGTCAACTTTTTGGGTATTACCCTTCTTCAGGGCAAACAGCATCATTCCTTTCAATACCCGAAGGCCCGGATTTTTCTTTTGACTTCGCCTGCAACTCTCTAATCACAAAGTCAGTGCCTCTGGCTTCAAAAGCTTAAATATAGAAAATATAACAGGAGGTTCGAAGCCACATTTAAAACAGACCATGTTAAACATATAATCAGCTGGTGCATTTTACAGATTTGAACTTGTTTTTATTACTAAATGCTGCATACAAACAAAGATTGCATCCAGCAATACAAATAGATAATTTTCAAAAACAAAAGGGTACTGGTGCACCGAGGTTGCCATTATATAACAATCAAGAGAAATCAGTTTTCCCACATAACCTGTCAAAATAGTCACAAAATATCAAAATACCAATGTTTCATGGAATTCCATATTTCATTTTTCATGCTGTAGTGAGTAGACTTAATACAGGAAAATGTGAGGTAATGCACTGTGGCAGGAATAGAAGGGCTGAATATTATTTAAATGGAGAAAGACTACAAAAAGCTGCAACAAATTTTAAAAATCCAGCATCTAAGTTCAGCAGGTACAAGGAAGGGTACATGGAATGTTAGCTTCTGTTTCAAAAGAATCTAGTTTAATGTAGGAAAGTTTTACTAAAACTACACAAGGCAGTAGTCAAACCGCCTGAACAGTTTTGGGACCCTTATCTAAGAAAGGATTTACTAGCACTGGAGGCAGTCCACAGAAGCTTCACTTTGCTGATCCCAGGTATGGAAGGAAAGGCTCAGTAGGTTGGGCATGTAATCACTGGGGTGTAGAAGAATGAGTAGCAATCTTACTGAAACACACAAGTTTCACAGGGGACTTGACAGGATAGATGTGGAAAGTTTGTTTCCCCTTGTGGGAAAGCCAAGCACCAGAGGTCATAAATGGGCTGCCACTTAAATCAGAGAAAGAGAAAGCGGGGGGGGGGGGGGGGGAGAAAATGGCAGGAAGGGAGTCGCCAGGTAACCAGAGTCAGGATGAGGAAAGAGAGGGGACGAAGAGCCGAAAGGTGGCCAGAGGCACGTGGGGAGGGGCAGAGTAGGATGACCACAGTCGTGGGAAGATGCAGGAGAGCCACGAATGGGCACAAAATCTCATGGGGTGGGTGGTGGGAAGAAATGAGAGAGATCACACATAATCTCCCTTCAGCTCTGAAAAGAAACGCTAAAGGTATAACGAAAGAGAAAAATCACTTCCATACAAAGAGAATAGCACATCAATGCAATGACTGGAGACAGCCGAGGTGAGCAAGGGGTTGGATCTGACTCGAACAAAACCGGAGGAGTCGTTTTTGTTTTGTTTTATCTCCTACCAGAAGGAACACAATTTTTAAAAATACCAACACCAAAAAATAAAAGAAAACCGAATATCATTCTAAAAGGCATTATCACCAGGTTGTGTTTATAGACATTGTTATTTGTACAGCATAAATTGCCAGGCGCCCTGGGTTTCAAGATGATCAGGCTGCGGCAGCCCAGTACCCGCTAACGGTCCCACCCCCACCGCGGGCACGAGCCCCTAGCGTCTAAATATTTGAATCGCGTTCCGTTAACGGCCGCTCACTCTACCTGACAAACGGGCTGAAAGTTTCAGACCGCACGTTCCTCCTGCCAGGCAGCGGCCGCGCCTTCCCCGCCGAAGCCTCTTGGAGCATCGATAACATTGCAAGTCCTTTTCTGCTTTTTTTTCGTTTGTGAATCTGTTCCTATGATAGAGGTAGGCCTTTTTTTTCCCTGTTTTTGTTACCGTTGTTATCGTCGGTCGAGCTAAATGGTGGGCGTGGTGCAAGGAAAAGATAATCGAGGAGGAGGTAATCACGCAGCGGGAGCCATTACCGGCACTTCATCACGAATGGCAACCGCGACGAATGGGGAAAGATAGGGGGAGGTGTGTAGCTTTCCTGAAATGCACGCGACGCGGGTTCCCTCCGCTTTACGTTTTCTTTTGCGGTCAGTGTGAATCTAGGCCTACAGTTCTACTTTTGAGCCAAAATACATGCTTCTGACGCTGATTTTAATGTTTCGAAGCACTGAAACAATCACCGCCCCCCCCCCCCCCACCACCAGTGTTTCTGAACATGGTCGATGCCACCCCCTTTGCCCCGCCTCCTCACGCCCGTCATCTGGAATGTGATTTTTTGTGACTCTGGGCAGTGGGGGATCCTGGTAAAACCAGGAGGGGGAGGGTGGATTTGGGACATTAACAATATGCCCTTCTGCTTTCTGTAAAGTGGATTTTATTTTTAGAGCTGAGTACTCTTAAAGTTGAACGTCACCACCGTACCACTCAAAATAGTCGCGACACAGATTGGAGGACTGCACTGCCTCTTTTCTTGCATTGCGCTCCTGATTGCGACGTATACTGCAATGTTTTCCCGAGTTACCAATTTGGCTAGTTACAGATATAGATCTGTGCAGATATATCCTGACACACCTCTGGAGCAGTTGGAACTTGAATCCAGGTCTTTTGACCCCGAGGTAGGGACAGTCCACCGCACCACAAGAGCTCACATGGGCAATCATCTACTGCAACAAAAACAATGTTGCTGGAAAAGCCCAGTAGGTCTGGCAGCAGAAAACAGAATTAACGTTTCGGGTCCGGTGATCCTTCCTCAGAACCCAGAATCAGGATCGTCCATCCTTTTCAAAGAGCTCCCAAGTCATCTTGACTCAATGAAATGGCAAGCCATAACACTTGTTCAGATTTTCTGCAATTTCCTTGTTTCACATTATTAATTCCTCAGTCTCACGCTCAAACAGACAAATGTTCTGTTCAGCCAGTCTTTTTTTTGTACTTTCAGAAGCTTTTACTGCCTATTTTTATATTTCCTGCCAGTTGTCTCCATTAAGTAATTACTACTTCTTGTTTATTTTAGTGATTCTTTGATGTTTTATAAAATCTTTCTAATCTTCTGACCTACCACAAATCTTTTCAGCATTGTTCATAATTTCAAATACAAACTATCTTTAACTTCCATAATTAGCAAAGGATGGTGCATCCTAATAGTAGATTGGTTTCTTCTCAATGGAATATATTTCATACTTCTCAATGGAATCTCTACATCACACTGTGAGAGAAATGGCATAATTTACTGGGAGTTTAGCACCACACCGTCAATATAAAATACTAGGCCTGTTGAATTTAATCAATTTCAAAATTCAATTTCCTTTAAAAACAACTTAGTTATCATACATGTGAAGTTCCACAGTTTCAGCTGTTCCTTTTCTGGGCCAGACAGGTTGATGAGTATTGTGAAAACATAAACAATTTCATTGAAAAATATTATTAATCATGAGCCTTAACTTTCTACAATTAATTTAGTTAGTAATAAATGTGTGAATGGAGCAATATCTTGACACTTCACAAACTTGAAGGTTAGCTGCTGTTTCTTGAGGATTACTGGTGACCACAATTCGGTTACGTTTACTTTAGCGATGGAAAGGGATAGGTATATACTGCAGGGCAAGAGTTATAGCTGGGGGAAAGGCAATTATGAGGCGATTAGACAAGATTTAGGATGCATAGGATGGAGAAGGAAACTGCAGGGGCTGGGCACAATTGAAATGTGCAGCTTGTTCAAGGAACAGCTACTGCGTGTCCTTGAGAAGTATGTACCTGTCAGGCAGGGAGGAAGTGGTCGAGCAAGGGAACCGTGGTTTACTAAAGAAGTTGAATTTCTTGTCAAGAGGAAGAAGGAGGCTTATGTAGAGATGAGGCGTGAAGGCTCAGTGAGGGCGCTTGAGAGTTACAAGTTAGCCAGGAAGGACCTAAAGAGAGAGCTACGAAGACCCAGGAGGGGACATGAGAAGTCTTTAGCAGGTAGGATCAAGGAAAACCCTAAAGCTTTCTATAGGTGTGTCAGGAATAAAAGAATGACTAGGGCCAGGTTAATGTTTAGGGCCAGTCAAGGACAGTAGTGGGAAGTTGTGCGTGGAGTCCGAAGAGATAGGAGAGGCGCTAAATGAATATTTTTCGTCAGTATTCACACAGGAAAAAGACATTGTTGTCGAGGAGAATACTGAGATACAGGCTATTAGACTAGACGGGATTGAGGTTCATAAGGAGGAGGTGTTAGCAATTCTGGAAAGTGTGAAAATAGATAAGTCTCCTGGGCCGGATGGGATTTATCCTAGGATTCTCTGGGAAGCTAGGGAGGAGATTGCAGAGCTTTTGGCTTTGATCTTTATGTCGTCATTGTGTACAGGAATAGGGCCAGAAGACTGGAGACTAGCAAATGTTGTCCCCTTGTTCAAGAAGGGGAGTGGAAACAACCCTGGTAATTATAGACCAGTGAGCCTTACTTCGGTTGTGGGTAAAGTGTTGGAAAGGATTATAAGAGATAGAAATAATTTGATTAGGGATAGTCAACACGGTTTTGTGAAGGGTAGGTCGTGCCTCACAAACCTTATTGAGTTCTT